AGGAGGAGCACTGCCAAAGCCCTGCAAAATGACCTCCAGCGGGCCACAAATGTGCATGTGGCTGCTCAAACAGTCAGAAACAGACTCCATGAGGGTGGTATGAGGGCCCGACGTCCACAGGTGGGGGTTGTGCTTACATCCCAACACCGTGCAGGACATTTGGCATTTGCCAGAGAACACCAAGATTGGCAAATTCGCCACTGGCGCCCTGTGCTCTTCACAGATGAAAGCAGGTTCACACTGAGCACGTGACAGACGTGACAGGGTCTGGAGACTCCGTGGAGAACATTCTGCTGCCTGCAACATCCTCCAGCATGACCGGTTTGGCAGTGGGTCAGTAATGGTGTGGGGGTAGCATTTCTTTAGGGGGCCGCAAAGCCCTCCATGTGCTCTCCAGAGGTAGCCTGACTGCCATTAGGTACCGAGATGAGATCCTCAGACCCCTTGTGAGACCATATGCTGGTGCAGTTGGCCCTGGGTTCCTCCTAATGCAAGACAATGCTAGACCTCATGTGGCTGGAGTGTGTCAGCAGTTCCTGCAAGACGAAGGCATTGATGCTATGGACTGGCCCACCCATTCCTCAGACCTGAATCCAATTGAGCACATCTGGGACATCAGGTCTCGCTCCATCCACCAACACCACGTTGCACCACAGAATGTCCAGGAGTTGGGAGATGCTTTAGTCCAGGTGTGGGAGGAGATCCCTCAGGAGACCATCCGTCACCTCATCAGGAGCATGCCCAGGCGTTGTAGGGAGGTCATACAGGCACGTGGAGGCCACACACACTACTGAGCCTCATTTTGACTTGTTTTAAGGACATTACATCAAAGTTGGATCAGCCTGTAGTATTTTTTTCCACTTTAATTTTGTGTGTAACTCCAAATCCAGACCTCCATGGGTTGCTAAATTTGATTTCCATTGATAATTTTTGTGTGATTTTGTTGTCAGCACATTCAACTATGTAACGAACAAAGTATTTAAAAAGAATATTTCATTTATTCAGATCTAGGATGTCTTATTTTTGTGTTCCCTTTATTTTTTTGAGCAGTGTGTATTATGTTCACAATATTTTGCTGGTCTACTAATTTAGTCACTGTGTTGAAGAATAAAATGAGATTGGTTTGGCATGATCTGTTTTTAACAAACCCGTGCTGACTGCTAGTTATTATTTTACTTGTTTCTAGATGTTGGCAGATCTGGTTTTTTTTTAAATTATCTTTTCCAGTATCTTCCCGGGTATTGATGTTAGGCTGATTGGTCTATAGTTTCCTGGGTCTGTTTTTTTTCCTTTTTTGAAGATGGGAACCACATCAGCTCTTTTCCAGTCCTCTGGTAGTTCCCCGGTGCTCCAGGATTTTTGAAAGTTGGTGCAGTGGTTCTAAGATGACCTCTGCCAGCTCCTTTAAAACTCTGGGATGTAATCCATCAGGCTCCGGTGATTTGTTTTCATCAAGATCAGACAGGTGTTCTCTTACTATTTTTTTGGTTATTTTTATTTTTATTTCTGGTCTGTCTTTTACAGTTATGTTTTTGGTGGGTTGAGCTATAGTTTCTTTTTGCGTGAAGAAGGATGCAAAGAATGAGTTAAGCAGTTCTGCTTTCTCTCTGTTGCCTGTTACTTCCTTGCCGTCTTCTCTCTTTAGTGGACCGACTGTTTCCTTGATTTTTTTCTTGTTATTTATATATTAGAAGAAAACTTTTTTTTTTTATCTTTGACTTTTGTTGCAAGTCTTCGTTCGTTCTGAGCCTTTGCTATCCTGACTTCATCTTTGCAGATTCTGGCTATCTGCTGATATTCTGCCTTAGTTGTATGTCCTTCTTTCCTTTTCTTGTACTTGTCCTTTTTTTCTTTCAATTTGCCAGAGATCTTTGTGCAACCATGCTGGTTTCTTCTTGGATTTCTTGTTTTTCTTTCTCAGTGGTATTGTTCTGATCTGGGCTTCTACGATCATACTTTTTAGAGTTTCCCAAGATTCTTGAGTTGTTTTCCCCTTTAGGATTTTCATCCATGGAATCTTTCCCAAGTTCTCTCTGAGTTTATTGAAATCTGCTCTTTTAAAATCCAAGACTGGTGTCACTATGTTCTGTTGCTTGTTTTTGTGTTATGTTGAATGCTAGTATGACATGGTCACTCTCACCCAAGGTTCCTGCAGTTTCAACTCCCTCTATCACTTCTTCTCTGTTTGTAAGAATTAAGTCCAGTATGGCTGTCCCTCTAGTTTTACCCTCAGAACACACCATGCATGTAAATATTGAATTTTTTATTTAAAAAAAGAGCAACTTTTACCCAAAATCAGGCAAAGCAGGCAGGCAGATTGAGTTGCTCACAGAATCATTCAGTGATCTATCTATCTGCCATCAGCTAGCTCAGTCTCTCAAATTTGCTTGCTGTGAGTCTGCACTGAATTTGCTTGCAAGCAAACGTTCAGTCCTAAGGGAGGTTCGGCTGTACTTAAAAGCAGAGCCAAAGATCTAAAGACTAGCTAGAAAGCAAGAAATCCAACCATTTCCTGCTTCCTAGCTAATCTAAATTTCCCGGTACAGCAGAACAGATGATGGTTGGAAAAAGGAAAAATAGCAATTTAGCAGGCAAGTTTACCAGGTAAGGAGTGAGTGGGTGAGGAGGATACCTGCGGGCCATGTGGGCAGCGCAGCCTTGTGTGTCTGTGCAGCCTGGATTAATTGCTTTTGGGGGGGGTGCTCTGGGGGTGAGATTTCTCTGCGGCCCACCAAAATTTTCTCGCGGCCC